CCCATGATGAGCACCAGACCGAGACGCCCTTGGACCAACTCGGCGTTGCGGAGGTAGACGCGCAGCTGGCGCAATGCAATCGCCATCGTACTCGATAGAAACGGCTCGGCAAACGGCGCGATGGGGGCGAGCGGCGGCAGCGATGGCGTCTGCTGCATCCGCGCCAGCATGGCCGCATGGACCGACGAGCTCAAAAACGCGCTGGCGAGCTCCCGGGCACTCAGCGACGGTCCATCCAGGTCCGGTGATCCAATGTCGACGAGGAAGTCGGGCACGTCGCGGTGCGGCGGGCAGGAATAGCCCAGCGCCTCAAAGTAGGGCATGCATGCGTCGCGCGGTCCGTGGTACAAGGTGTAGCCGTCGTGGAGCAGCAAAACATTGTCAAAGAGATCAAAGACATCTTGTGCTGGCTGAAGAAGCGCAATCACCACCGTCTTTTGGAGCGAGGTCGCCAGGCTTTTCTGGGCCGACACGATGTCAAACGTGGCAGCGGCGTCGAGGCCGGTGCTGATCTCGTCAAGGAACGACGCGCGCTTGAAGCCAAACTCCATCTCGCCCATCGTCACGCGCTTGCGCTCACCGCCCGAGACGCCGCGGAGCATGCTGTTGCCGACGACCGTGTCCTTGCAGTGGGCGAGGCCCAGCTGGCGCGCCACGAGGTCCGGCGCCGCCGCTTCGATCGACGCCAGAAGCGGCGTCGCGTGCTCGGGCACCGCCGCTAGCTGCTCGCGGCTCGTGACGCAGCGAGACGCAAACGACAGTGTCTCGTGCACCGTGAGCGTCGGGTAGTGCACGTCGCGCTGCGCCACATACGACGTCCAGCGCGCCAAGTGGGGACCCATGTCCGAGACGCCATTGTACGTCAGCTGCCCGTCCATGCGAAGGCTCTTGGTCGTCTTGACTTGGCCGCTCAAAAGCTTGAAGAACGACGACTTGCCGGACCGGGGCTGGCCGAGCACGAGCGTCATCGTCCCGGGCGTGAGCGTCCCCGTCATCGGGTGCAGAATGTCCTTGCGCACGGTCCGCGACGGCTGGTAGAGACCGCGCACCATCGAGGTGACGTCGCTCATGAGCGTCGGCAGCTCTTGGCGCGTCATGAGCGGGACGTCGGCCGAGAGCGCGAGGTCCGTGAAGCGAATTTCGAGCGGCGGCAAGACGCCGCCCACCTCGTCCTTGATCTTGCTGTGGTACGCGGCCGTGCCCTGGGCGAGGAGGTCGTCCGCCTGACCGGCTTGCTGCATGCGACTCGAATTCGAAAATGCGTCCTCGACGCTAAAGCTGTCGTCGCGCCACATGGGATACGACAACTGAATGTGTGGTGGGGACGTGGCGCAATCCGCTCGATCGTGACGCCGGCACAAGCCGATCGCGTGTTCCTCAACATGACACGTGGTGAGATTACTACGAAAAACAGCTGCCATATTGTACAGTCGTCGTGTACATGGGTCGTAGAATCCTATACTGCAGAAAAGCGTGGGAGAGGTCACTTGGTGGAGCCACTGGTATATGCAACTCTGTAGCGGGGTTGTGGTAAACAGCAATGTGATCGGCCGTGCTCTCTTCTAACGTAATAGGGTGGAGGGCTAGGAATGTGTTCGCTTCAGAGTTAGATCAAGCGCTAAGCTCACGGTCCTGTGGTCCGTAAACGCTGAGTCCTAGCATATGGTCGACACAACCCTTGACAACCGCAGCCGGAGACCTGACGACCCGGCCATTGCGACCCCGTGCAACGAGAAAAAGTGCAACAGCCGGCGCCAATCAGGGATGAGCTGCAGTGGATTCCACCGACTCGTGGGTTTGGCGGGCGTTATCAGCGCCCTACTAGCTTATTTCTGCTGGGAGAACAGGAGACGACGCAAAGAGCGCTTGACCTCCTTCAGCGTCCAAAGCTGGCGGGCTAAACGTGCTGAGTGCGCATCAAGGTTGAGAATGATGGCTACCAAACTGCTCAAGGCAAAGCTTGTGCATCCATGGATGTTGTTGAATCTTTTGCTTGTCAGTGACGTGCAAAAGTGTAAGTGTAGTTGCATGACCGAAAGATTCGCGGTCGCCACGGGGCACGGGACATATTCTATCGCTACAATTATTAATAATGCTATGATTCGCTGGACAAGGGTTGGCAAGTGTGCTGGAGGCAAACCCGAGTAGAATAGACGCAGACCCCGCTCGTGGGTAGCGGAGAACTCTCGAGATGGCACCATACTGGGGTATTATTGGGAGTTTGGGGCTCGTAGGAGGTCTCGAGTACTAGTACAGTACTCGGCAGAGGACCTGGCGTAAAGGTGGCTGCGGAACCCACCGCGCGGCAAGCCACTTGGTAGGTGAAGTCGCCGTAGCTCGGTTGCATAATGGAGGACCATTGTGAGTCAACGCAGCAGTCGAGACCGTCCATATACAAGCCTTGTGTCAGGCGTTGAGGTGTGGACAGAGTCACGCCAAAGAGACAAACCACGCAGTCTTGTGCACTAATAGTGAACATCACTAAACCCAGCTTAGTCAGTTCTTTCTGGGACGAGACGACAACCCCAACACTCACGACCAACTTGATTCGTCACTGACGTGGCGTCACGCCGTCGCTCGACCGTGTTGCAAATTTTTCTGCATGCATGTGATTGGTCTGCTCCACGTCTATTTGCACCAATCGCAGCATGATACTGCCGAGCCAGTCCACGCCCCATTTGATTCGCTGATTTTCAGCCAATCCACGCTCGCCCTCTACAACTTTGGCAGTGGATTGGATAGCACTGGCCAATCCAAACAGCAAACGAATGGAAGTTTCCGGCAGCAGCAGTCACACGGATCAGTTCCAGCATGGCGACCAAGTCCGTGACCTTCGCCACCACCGCGTCCGTACGTAGCTACGCAGTAGCCTTCGTCGATGGCGTCCTGCCCGACGAGGACATTGGCATCGGCTTTGCCGGCGCGATGGTCGCAGACAGCCGCCACGTTGACATCGCCACGAGCGCCAAGCCTCGCCCGCGCCGCCTCTCATTCCGCAGCAAATGCTTGCTCGTCTACGGCACGAGTTCGCCGCCAGCTACCGAGACGGCGTACATCGCCGAGCTGCAGGCACTAGCAGATCGCAGCCGAGGCGACCGCCTTGTCGCCCGCGCATTGAGCGACGACCCGAGTCCTCGGCGTCGTGAGCCCGGCAAAGAGCGCTGGAGCCCGGCCCAAGTGCGTGCACAGGCCAAGGCGGCCTACGCAGTGCAATGGGCGTCGACCATCGACGAGGTCGAGAGCGAGCCGCCGTGCACCATGTACATCCCACCACCGAGTCTGTTTACAAATCCGTTCGAGATCGACTTTGTCGCGCGGTCCGTCGACGCCGAGCCGCACAAGAAGCGCAAGCGCGACGACGCCGACGGCTGCCGCAGTCTTTCGTTCAAGTGCACCAAGACAGCGTCTGCCGAGGCGCCCAAAGCGTGGTGGCGGCTCTTCTTCTAGCTCTCGAATACACCTGATATATTCCAGTCCGGCTCTGGTGCGTCATCTCTAGCTCAAGTCCGTGGGGTCGAGCACGCCTTCTCCACCTGCAGACGCACGCAACGGGCTCGCGTGCAAGCGCAACACCAAAGTAGTGACGTCAACGCGTCATCAAAAGCAAGACAAATGTAATCATTACGGCTTGAGAGCTGCCATGGACGTGAGCATCGACATCATAATCGAGTTGACGCCAAACGGCGCGGGCGGCGGGCCACCTACAGACATCTCAGCGTGTCGACACCACGTGCAGTGGCGATCGATACCCATGGCGGCGGCAAAGGCGTCGTGGAGGTCGTCGTCCGAGAGCTGGAGGAGCTTTCCAACAACAATGGCATCCCGGAGCAAGTTGGTCACGGCCGTCTTGGCCTCGTCACGCGCCCCGTCGTCGGTCTCTTCTACGTACATACATCTACTGCTGTCTCCATGGTGCATCCGAGTAGAAACCGGCAAGACTCGCGTCGGCTACGACGGGCGCGGCTGCAGGCTGTTGCTTGGCGGCTTGCACGACGCGCACCGCGTCACAGCTAAAAATGCCTCACACCACTACGCCAAGGTGCAGACGTACCATGGCGCGTCCGAGTAGCCAAGGACAAAGTCGGCAGCTTCTTCGCTCAAGTCGACAAAGGTGGTGTCGGTCGGAATCGCAAAGCCCACGTCCGCGTTCAAGAGCGAGAGCGCGTTGGCGTTGCCGCCAGCGACGAGCGCGACGACCTCGCCGAGGTCCTGGAGCGTCTCGACCAGCAGATCGATCTGGCTGGGCGACCCGCCCTCGATGACGACACACGGGTGCTCGAGCAAGAGCAGTTTCCACTCGGTGAACGTGTTGGCAATCGAGATCGCACTCGCATCCACCACTTTGGGGGACAGCGAGTAGCTCTTGTCACTCGTCACGTCCTTGATCGTCATCTTGACCCGCGAGACGGAGGTAAACCGTCCCGAGGACGCCACGTGACGCGGCGACGACACGCCACTGACGTCATGATCGTCTGACGACGTGCGACGGGACCGAACGCTGAGGCTCGAGACGTCCCGAGCCGGCTCTACATAAAGTCGTCATTTTGTATATACACGGAATGCAAGGTCCGGCAACACACCCGTGACGACGTACAAGTTGACGTCGACGGCTTGGCAGTGCGACGCCAGCGTCACCAGGTCGGGCTGCGCGTGGTCGACTAGGCCAAGCGCGCCGAGGTACACCATGTTCTCCGTCGGAAAGTCCATATTGGCAATGTCAAACGTGCACCCGACGGGGTACGTGGCGGGGTCGAGGTAGAGCTCAGCGACACCGACGACGACCTCGCCCTTGCTCTCGAGGCCCTCGACCATCGCAGTGACGTTCTGCAAATCGGTCGTGTCAAGCGGCAAGAGCTCGGCGTTGGCCTTGCGCACCTTGCCGCAGCGCGAGAGGACTTCCCGCGCCGGCCCCAAGAGGACCACGATGTGAGCGCTGCACTCGCGATCAAAGTGCACGTAGACGGCGCACCCGCTCACCGATCCGGCGGTCGACGCCGAGAAGCGCGACGTCGCTGGGTCGTGAAACCGGTCGCAGAAGCGACTGATCGCGGCTTGGTCGCGCGAGAGCTCATCGGGTGAGTGGCGACAGGCGGCAAGCGCGCGGACCATGGCACTGGCGTCGGCGTTGGCCTTGAAGGTCGAGAGAAGGTATGATGCCACCGCGGCCTCTGTGTCATCAGCTGTGCTCTCCGAGAGCGTGAGCCCGGCGTCGGTGGCCGTCACGAGCGCCGGCAGGTTGGTGCCGAACGAGACCGTCACGACGGTCCGCGCAATCACACACTTGTGGGCGACGACGACTGCCGAGATATTGGGGAGCGAAGACGGCAGCGACGGGTCGTGCTTAGACGCGACGCCGAGGCTCTTGATGTCGTCGAGCAGCTTTGTATTCGTCGTCAGCGGGCGTTGGCCTTCTTGCGAGAGAACCGTGTGCGAGATGACACCGAGGACGGTCTCGGCGCCGATGCGAACGACGATGCCCTTCCCGCTGCCCTGCGTCACGCTCGTGCCATAGAAGAGCATGTTGGGCGCTTGCATGTACGGAAGACTCACACCCGGCGAGTCAAAGACCGAGGCCACGCTGGCCACGCGCGGCAGGAGGGACGCGTCGCCGTTGAGCGCGTCGTGCGAGACCCAGAGATCCTCGGCCTCGACGAGACGGATATCGGCTGGCACGCACTGCCCCGCCTTGATGGCTACGACGTCACCGGGCACAAGGTTCTCGGCGCGCGTGTGAATCCAGTTCCCGTCACGGACCACGGCCACGAGCTCGTGGATGGCGCCGTGGCCAGCATCGGCGTCCGTCGGCAGTAAGTTGGGTGAGTTCGACAGGCTCGCCTGGAGCTCGGCGAGGTACCCGGACAAGAGACCGGTAGCAACGTTTGTGCGGAAGCGGACCTCGAGGGCCGCGATGTCGAGGAGGTGCTCGTCCATGGCCCGGCGCGGACTCGTGCTGATGCGGCCCATGATGATCGCCGAGGGCGGCAGACTATTTTTATACTGCTACGTCAATGCAATCTTGGGTTTTGTATGTTGCAGCGTGAAACTTTAATTGTGACAACGGCGCAAGGCCATTGGGCGAAAGATCGCGAGCGATTCTTTCGACGATCCTCGACCGCGGCTGCTGCAATCACAAGCCCTCAAGCTCCTGGAGTGCGACGGACGTAGCACACGCCGTGCACCCAGCTGCTCGGTTGCAAGCGGATCACCCATCTCTGCACTCTTTTGCTGCACGCCGAACCGCCGCTGGCGGCACTACGCGACCAAAGGTTGAACCGAGTGTGCGAAGGACCGCGCGAAGCGGGCGGTGACTACTACGTTCAACCGTTGGTCGCGTTGTGCCGCCAGCGGCCGTTCGGCGTGCAGCAACAGAGTGCAGAGATGGGTGATCCGCTTGCAACCGAACAGCTGGGCGCACGGCGTGTGCTACGTGGACGAGCCCGCTTGGAGCACGTGTACTGACAACACGAATTCAGCGATCGATGCGGCCAAGCGGCCATCAGCGCTTTGTCTTGTATGGTAGAGTCGCGTCACTTCCTACGACGCCAGCGTACCCAGCATGAGCGCTACCCTTCAGGCTGCCTATCGTCATCGTCATGGGATGTCCGTCCGGATACGCGACACCAGTCCGTCGGAAAGTGTCCCAAAATTATTGAAATGGGGACAGCGCCGCGTGCGTCAGTTTGCAGCTTGCCGCACGCCTAGTATGGAGCACGTGGTCTTGTTCAAGTGGAAGGAGGACGCGTCCGAAGACGCGATCGCGGCCATCGGCGCCGGGCTCATCGCGATGCGCGACAAGATCCCGGGCGTCGTCGACCTCGCGTACGGCCAAGACTTTACCATCAACCGCGCCAAGGGCTTCACGCACATGCTCATCGTGCGCCTCACGGGCCGCGACATGCTTCCGGGCTACGCCGAGCACCCCGAGCACCAAAAGGTCCTCGTCAAGATCCGCGAGATCGCCGCCGACATTATGGCCATGGACTTTGAGAGCCCGCGCTTCGCGCCGTCCGCTTAGATGGAACATGGTGCCATTTCAATTCACAATTTTTGCCCTTGCTCGAGGTATTGCTTGCGCTACAAAACCCGAGAGTTCACCAACTACAATTGTAGTTGATGACAAAGCTTCAAGTCGACAGCCAAAACTGTAGTCGATGGCCAAAAGTTTTAGTCGATAGCCAAAAAAAATAGTCACAGCAGCGAATTGTAGTCGATAGCCAAAAATGATGTCTATGGTTCAAGCCTGGTGCATTGTATCTCGGTAGACGAGCGCTCAAGGGCCTTCTCGTCGGCTTCGACTAAGTGCAAGTATGCAGACGGTTGAGAGCAAGGTTCACCTCCATCGTGACGGCGCAGGAGAACGCCTGTCCTTCTTTTCTCGAAACCCTCGATAACCTTCGAAATTTCCCGCCCTTTTACCCGGCGCCACTTGCAAATGGGCCTCCAAAAGAACTTTGCGGACCTCAAAGCGTCGTTCAAGCGGCCGTCGAAGGGCAACGAACCCAAGCTCTCGGCGGCCGAGTACGAGCGGCTCCGGCTCGAGCTCGAGGATATCTTGACCTTGTACGAGCCGTCGCAGATTGGCACGGCGGCAAACCTGCTCAGGCACTACGACGGCCTCGAAGCCGAGCTCGTCGAGTGCTACCGGTCCTACTACTATAAAGAGTCGCACGACGACGACCATCCCAACCAAATCGCACCTCCGACATACTGCAGCGGCAACAACGACCTCGAGGACCGCAAGTCGCGCTTTGCGACGGCAGCGGCACTCCGGAAGCGTCTCTCGCTCGCGACGCCATCATTGTCGTCACTGGTGCCGTCCAAACTCCGCTCGCGAAGCGCCAAGGCCCACAAGCCGTCAAGCGCAACTAAGATGGAGAGCATCCGCGGCCCCGACGTCTGGCCCGAAACGTCCCCACCCAAGCCAGGTACATGCAGCCACTTAAGTCCTTCCAGCATCCCATCAATGCTCTAGCGGGCGTCCCTGCGCACGGCTTCCGTCTGCCAAAGAAGTCGACACTCGTCGACTTGCTTCAGAAGTACGGGACCCTAGCCCTGCCCCACCCCTAACCACTTTTTCTAGAGTCAAGCTGTCTCGTGACGCAACGCAGCTGTACATGGCGGCTACCCCCGACACGTAGATTCATAGTGTGTAGGCTGGAGGCCGACGCGGCGCCGCTGCAAGCAACGACCATGTCCTTCCCGGCCCGGTGCTTGGACACGGGCGAGGACTACTTTATGGACGAAGTCAACCACGAGGTATGGAGGAGCCATGCTGGTACATATATATGTATGCCTGACGACTCGGACAGGTGCTGGCGCGGCAAAAGGATGTACAGTACAGCAAGCGCAAGAGCTTCCGCGATAAGGTTGTTGTGTTTCTGCAGCAGTACGACATGGCCGCGGTCGACTCGGTCGACTCGCTGCTTGCGTACGGCGGCAAGACCAACGACGAGATCTGGGACGATCTGCAAGTGCGTTCGCCGACGCTCCTGTCGCCGACGACGTTGTACATGTAGTTGATATTCATCTAGTTTTGTGTATAGATCCAATACAAAGTGAACCAGCGATCGCGGCTTCTCCAGTTGTTTCAGACGTACGACCCTGCGCATGTGGCCGACGTGGACGCGCTGTTGACGGAATATGCTGCCAACGTACGTCGAGATTGTGATTCTCTCGAATCGGATTGTGAATTTCTCGAATCGAATTGTGGAATTCTCTTGTCTAACGTAGGTGGAAGACATGATTGCGTTCTACAAGGCCAAGTTTGCCGATCAGAAGAGCAAGGTCGTCAAGCGCAGTGATCCGTGCACGTGGACACCTGGCGAACCCAACTCGTATCAGCTTCTCCCGACAGGCAACTAGACGGGCAAAAAATGTACTTACTGTAATGTAAAATGGTGAATTGGAAAAGGACAAAAGAAGGGAATGCTGCACGAGGCAAAGAAGAGATTGTGCAAACAGATATATCCTGGACAAGTTGTGCACGTCCTATTGGCGTACTAGTAGTGTTCGCACCCGGTGGCACAACTTCTTATGTTGCCATTCGAGGCAAAAATTCACCAAACAGCAAAATTTCATACGTATATTTTGTCCATCTTATAAAGAAAACATTTCAAAATTAGTGGTCGTGAGATCGGCGCGTGGCTTTGCCTGCGTTGGAAGTGCGTGATTCAGTTGCACCCGCAGTGTTTCGAGTCGGTGCGACGTCCGCAGCGCTTGGTTGGTGGTACTTGAGCGACCACTGCCACCGCCTTGAACCTAAAATCGAACTGCGAGTCAACAGCGACAATGGCCCGGCAGAGCTCGGTGGCGTCGGTGCCACCAAATGTGCACGGAACGTAGACTGTATCAAGTTTATTAACACGTATTCTCGTACTTTTCTAGTCATTTTTCGTATTGCATTGTGCAATTCGGTTGCTTGTCGTCTGCGCCGAAATGGCAATCGTCAATTTGGGTTGCGTGTTTCCAGTCTTTCCTTGCTTTCGGCAGCAATAAAGCTTCAGATTTGACATTGGCGTAAAACACCCAACGCGATCTTTGATGGCGAGCGGACGGGCCAAGCTCACGCTGGAGCGCGTGCTGGGCACGACCGCGCATGGCAACGCGAGCATGAGCGTGAGCAGCGTGAGCGGCGAGATTGCGTACGCGGCCGGCTGCGTCGTCGTCATGTACAACTTTCGCCGGGACAAGCAGACGCGCTACTACCGCGTCGAGAAGCCGGTCTCGGCGCTCGCCTTCTCGGGCGACGGCCGTCTCCTCGCGATTGCCGAGAAGGGCCATGCACCGGCGATCACCGTCTGGGACGTGACCACCGGGCAGCTGCGCGCCGACCTCAAGCGCCATACGCACGGCGTGGCGGCGGTCGCTCTGTCCACGGACGGCCGCCTCCTCCTCTCGGCCGGCCTCGTCCACGACAAGATGCTGTACGCATGGGATACGGCGACGCAGACGCTGCTCGGCGCAGCGGTGCTCTCGACCAAGATCCACGGCCTCGACTACAGCGTATGCGGCCGCGCATTCGTGTCGGTCGGGGATGCCCACGTCACGGTACCTACTTCATACCCTCATCCAAGCTCATGCAAGACATATAGTTTTGGCGCCTCGATAGCAACGACCGCCTCGAAACGAGTGGCCAGCTCCTCCCGGATGGGCTCGCCGAACTACGTCCGACGCCAGCGACCATGTCCCGACTGGGCGACGCTGCTTTTGTCGGCGTCAGCTGCAGCGACACCAAGACGTTTGGCGTCACGCGCTGCGGGTTTCTGTGCTGCTTTGGCGGCACGACCATGGAGCGGCTCGTGTCGATCGAAGCGGCGAGAGGCTTTGCGGTTTCGGTGACGACCGAGTTTGTCGCTGTCGGTGGCGCCTCGTCGATCGTCCGACTCTTCGACCCAATCACACTCGAATACAAGACGACGCTGCCGTTCCCGGCGCACTGCAGCGCGACACCGCTGAGCGACCACCTCCTACTGCCGCCGACACCGACGGCCTTTCCTGCCGTCGTCGCCGTGCGGTTGACTGGCGCGCACATTGCCATACTGTACGCCGACCGTGCGCTGTTGTTGCTCGAGATTCCGACGCGGACTGTGACGCGGTCGTTCTTGTTTCATAGCGGCCCGATCAACGGCGTCGCCGCGGTCGGGGCCGTGACCGGCCTCGACGCCCGGCAGCGCACCCAGTGGGCCGCCCCCGCGACGTCGGCAACGCACCCGATCCCAGACGGAACGTTTGCTACCGTCTCGGACGACCACACGTTGCGCCTATGGCACCTCGAGTACACCAAGAAGCACAAATTCCCACAGCCGTGGTGTCACGCCCACAGCAGCGACCTCGTCGCGTCGATTGTCGTCAGTGACGCGCCCGTGTCGATCGCGTCCGAGTCGGTGCCCGATGTTCACACGCCTCGGGACTCGGTGGACGCAACGGGTGACACAGGGCTCCAGTGCCTCGCAGTCTATGCGGCGTCCAAGATTGCGGTCGGCGACAAGCACGGGCACATTCATCGCATCGACTTGCAGTGGCCTCTCAAGCGACCGGCGCCGCTGCCGACGCCGCACGCAAGCGCCGTCCTCTCGATCGCGTACGGTCCGCAAGGGCACTTGGCCTCGGGTGGACGGGACCGGCTCCTCCACGTTTACGCGCCGACGGGCGACCTTCTCAAGAAGCTGGAGAATCACTCGGGCGCGGTGCACTGCGTGCGCTTCTCGGACGACGGCAAGCGCATCGTGTCGGGCGGCGCCGACCACGCGATCGTGTTTACGCAGGTGACGGACGACCGGATCTTCCGCTACAACTCGATGACCGTCAATGGTGGCCGCCTCCACGACGTCGCTGTCCTTGGCAACGACCATATTCTCTCGGCCGTGCATGCGCGCGTCGACGTCCATACACTCGTCAGCAACAAACACGTTGCTTCGTACGCCCTCGGCGAACACCACCACATTGGCGTGACGCCCGGACCGTCCCTCGTCGCGCTCTCGGGCGCCACCGACAAGACGGTCTACGTTGTGGACTATGCGACAGGCGACGTCCTGACCAAGGCGGCGGGGCATGGTGATGCCGTCACAGGCGTCCTCTTCACATTAGACGGGCGTCGCCTCATTTCGACGAGCGCTGACGGCTGCATCTTTGTGTGGCGTCTCTCGGATGACCTCCAAACACGCTACAAGGCGCAGCTACCTCTCGTGGCGGCGCCAGCAATGACCGTCGCCGACGCACCGCCCGTCATGCCACCTGTCCTTGCCATGCCGCCGCCCGCGCCTCCCGTGCCAGTGCGAACGACGCCGTCTGCGCCTGTTGTCGTTCTGGCACCGCCTGCACACGTCCCTACAAGCCCCGAAACAAAGGTTCCAACGCCAACCGAGATACCCGCCAAGACGTCAACCGAAATGGAGATCGTCGCAAAGTCGTGGCAAAACGGAAAGCAAGTCGTGCCGGGTCCGATGGCGCCGCTACCGATGGAAGACTGGATGAAGACGCGGGGGCCACCGCTACCACCCGTCGAGCTCACGCCGCCCAAGATCGCCGACGCGCCTTTGGACCGGGTCCCGGACTGGGCGCGGACGATCAAGCCGCTGTCATCAGACCCATCGCCCTTTGTCGTCGAGCCTCGAGGAAAGTGGGGCGCCGCCGGTGTTGTCGACAGCATCGCGGCCGTCGACTCGAGCTCCGACTCCGACTCGGAGGCTGGCGACGACAACGACGATGACACCAAGGACGGGATGGAGACCCAAACGCTGTACATTAAACAGTCGAGCGGTGCACTCCAGTCAGTCGACGTACCGATCAAGCGCTCAAGTGCGTCGGACGCTGAAATCGCCGAGCTCCTCGCGGCGGCGACGGCAGCCACGACGCTGGACCACGCGCGGGAGCTGCACTCGAAGCGCAAAATGCAGCGAGAGACTGCCCTCGCGGTTGCCGAGATGCAGTCGAAGCTCGGGCAGCTCGGAATTCTCAAGCAACGCAAGCCCGAGTACGAAAATGATAGCTTCACTGCTGGCTACCACGCCGAAGTCCACGGCGGCGGTCTCGGCCGGGTGACGACCGACGTCGACAGTAGCACCGTCGTCATGCAGTCGTTTGACGTTCCCTCGGTCGATGTCAAGGTGGTGCCACTGCCGAGTCCCCCGCCACCGATGGTACCTCGTGTCTCAATTAGCCTCGATATGACACCGACGGACGTGTCCTTGGGCCAATTTATTGCGGGACACAAGTTACAGCCAGAGCCCACGCCTTCGGTGGAAACGTCTCAGAGCATTGACGTCACACCGGTCAACATGTCCTTAAGCCGGTTTCTGGACGGTGACGGACTGGTCATGACAGCCAGCGTTGATTTGACGCCAACTAACGCATCCCTGAGCACTTTTACTACCGGGTATCACATCCCGTCACCCGACATCCGCCGTGACGCAACCCCAGCGACCAGCGTGGATATGACGCCCACGGACGTGTCGCTGAGTGTCTTTACGACAGGGTACGCGCCCGAGGCTCAACCCTCGGTGCAGCCAAGCGTCTGCGACAGCATTGACGTGACGTCGTCACTCAGTCGCTACGTCACGGGCTATGACGCAGCCCCGACAGCCGTCTCGACGAGCATTGACGTACGCAACGTGTCGCTGAGTACGTTTGTTGCGGGTCATGCACCAAGCACAGCGTCGGTCTCTCAGAGCCTCGAACCAACATCAACCTCCTTCAGTGCGTTCACGACGGGCTACAACCGCCGCAGTGTCGAAACGAGCGCGAGTCTGAACCTCAGCAACGTCTCTTGGAGTGCGTTTACCTCTGGGCACCAGCCGACCGACGTTGTTGCAGCCAGCATCGAGATACCGGTCAATATGTCGCTCAGCATATTCGTGGCTGGGCACCATCCGCTGTCGCCCAAAGCTCGCGCCGAGGTGATTGCCGACCCAGCGCCACCCGCAGCCGCCACGACATCATCTACCAGCAGCAGCATCGACCTCACCAATGTCTCGCTCAGTCATTTCGTGCACGGACTCGACCTTAGTTCGTTGTTTCTCATCGTGACGCGAGAAGTAACAACTTCGGACTAGGCCTTGATGGTGCTGCCACGCCGCTACGACCGCCGAGCCAAGCCTCCGTGTCGTCATCCAGTGAAAGCATCGACCTCACGAACGCATCACTGAGTCATTTCGTGCACGGCCATGACGATCTTTTAAGTACGTCATTCGAAGCGTTCCTGCCGGATGAGATGGACGGCGCTCGTGTAGCTGGACCTTCCAGCGACGGTGTGAAGGAGTCGACCAGCAACGATTCGGGGAGCGCGGAAGTTATACCACCGTTCAACGACGTAATGCAGTGCGTCGACCCCACCTGTAAAGGATGCTGGACGAAGGCTTCTTGTAGGAACTTGCACGCCCAAGTCGGCGCAACTGTCGATGTCTTCGCCCACGTCGTTGCGGTCAACACGGCGGACAAGGAAGGTACCGTCGCCGTCACGGCAACAGGCATCTTAGAGAACTTTTGCTGCTGCGTAGCCGCCGAGATCGCCGAGATGGCCCGGCTCCTCCAGCTCAAGATTGCAGCCTACGCTGCTCGCACTACCTGAAGACACTTTTGTCCCTCGCTTCGACCCTTGCGTTGGCATTGCATTTTTTCAATTTAACGCTGTATGGCGAACGAGGGTTGGGGTTGGTACATGGCTCGTCAACGACGGATTTAGGCTGCAAGCAGCGACTCGAAGAGCGACGTGAGACTGCGCAAGCCCGTGCAGAGGCCGTCGTCGCGCGTCGATACGTCCATTTGAATGTGCGCAAAGTCGATGAGCCGCACGTCGCAGCGCGTGCTGGGGGCCGCCGCATCATACACGAAGAGGAGTGAGCTGGCAATAAAGTGGTAGCGCTCGTTCGTGTCAAAGTACGTCTGGAGCGCGGCGAGATTGCCCAGAATCTGGTACGCACCAGATGTGAGCACGTTTACCAACGCACATGCGTACCTGGGGCACCACCGCATCGCGGATCTCGGGTGACGTGAAAAATGTGTCGAGCCCACCACGCACTTCGTCCAGCGTCTGGAGCGTCCGGCAGTGGTACTTGTCATATGATGTATACGCGTTTGCATCGACATCGTAGACCTTGATGGCTTGGAGGCGAAAGCCGACCGTCGCTTGGAGCGGAAACTTGCGGGACTCTTCCTCGACCTTGGCTGCTGACGCGTTCGGCTCGTACGACTTGGTGCCCATCTTGATGTCCATGATGCACGGGTGCACCATGCCATGCAGCAAGTTCTCGAGCTGAATGTAGCCTACACTGTTCGTCAGTCTCATATCCGAGATGAGGTCGATGTACGGCGGCCAGCGAGCGTGACGTCACCGTCAAACGCGGGCAGGAAAGGGCGCAGCGCCACGTCGTTCTGCGCCACCACGTAAAAGGCCCACTCGCGCTCGCCGCGGTTCTTGCTCTGGAAGGGCTTGAGCAAGCGGCCATCGAGGAGCTTCATGCCTACGCCTGCGTGAGCGGCGGCGAATCTGGCGGCGTACTGGTCTGTTCGCAGGCGTGGCCGCCCACTTGGTGGGGCATGGCCTCGAGCGCCGGGCGGCGCGTGCGCTGGTAGAGGACAGCGGCCACGAGGCCGGCGCCCAGCGCGACCACGACCGCCGCAGTCGTCGCTCCGCTGGTCATCACTGCGAAATATGTGACATGCTGCGAGTGTCTAAACACACGCAACATAAAACCGCAGCAACACCTTCCCAAATGCAAAGCCAAGCCGATGCAGGCAGACTGGCCGAATGAATGAGACATGTCCGCGATCTCGTCGTCCGCCAAGATGACTATCCTCAAGATGACATATACGTGCATGCGTGATCCAATGGTTTGGCTTTGTACGAACTGCGCTCCGAGATCCCAATCTTCCGCTCAGCAAGAAGGTCCAAATCTCGACCATCATCCCCATTTTGTGTGAAATTGACATGTACTCGGCGGTCCAAGCCACCAACGACACCATTTTCAGCGCCATTGCGCTGCCACGATCGATCCCGCGCTATCAAGCCAAAGAACTCGACGCGCTCAGCTAAGCCGACAAAGACATTCGACCAAGTCCATCCAATCTTCAAATTTAGTACGTCGAAGGCCGCAGCTTAGTCATCCAGCCAAAACTTGGAGAACCTCACGTAATATACCCCTGACAAGCGAGTGTGAATTGACGAGACGCTCATGGTGGGTCTTCTGTGACGTCATTGGGAATGTACGTGGCAAGCGTAAAAGCAAGGGGGTATGGTGTTGGCGCGATGGAGCGCTCGTCATCTTGAAGTTGGCACCGTGCATCAACGTCTCGCCGGACACATGTGTTAGTTCCTAGTTCTTCTATTGTTCGATGGTTCTTGATGGCTCGACCCTTGACGCCGAATTTCGTGGTCATAGAGACGTCGCGGTATCTTGAGCAGCAGCTAAAATGACCAAGTCGAGACTCTTCCGAGGGCAGCAGCACATGTTTGGTGGTGGCCCTCTCGTGTCGGGCGACACTAGAAACGCGCATCACGTGAGCTCGTCATGGATGATGATTCGAGATATTAATTGCGTGGTTCGCCCAGATATGGAGCTCTTGGTTCATATATGTAAACCTAAACAGCAGCACCCGACCAGGCAAGGATGCGTCCCTTGCCTTGGGCGGGACGATTTGCTCCGATCATGGCAGTTTGAGCGCCAAGGGTCGCTCAACTAGCCAAGAAAATCTTCGAATTGTGTGTGTATTTTGCGACTAACTGGCGTGCATCTCATTGCGCAATTTCGCGTCTCGTGCTTGTATGCTTCCGCATTTGCCTCTGCTTGCGTTGGGCGCGCTCTCAGCGTCCGTCGTTGCCGACAAGTTGGCCTGCGGCGTCTCACCCGGCGGCTGGACGCAAGTGCCCGGTGACTACCTCAAGGTGGCGTACGACGGCAAGACGCTGTGCGCGATCGATCTGCAATATAAACTCGCCTGCGCATCCTCAACAACGAGCCCGATCCCGTGGTCGGCGATCCCAGGCGAGTACGCTGACATTGGCCTCGCCAACGGCATTTTGTACGCGCGCAAGCACGACGTCCAGGGCACGATGGTCGTGACCAACTCGGTTACGAACGTGCAGTGGGCGACCGTGAACCTCAACTATGGCGCCGAAAAGCAAACTAGCTTTGCATTTGATGGCTCGACGCTCTGCGAGGCGACGGACGCCGGGCGCTTTGTCTGCACGAGCACTGCACCCGGTGGTATTCCGTACACGTGGACCAACGTGGACGGCAGCATTGTGCGGGCGGCGGTGCGCGGCAGCACGCTCTATGGTGTCGACGCCACCGGTCAACTGTTGAAGGGCACGACGGCGTCGGCACTGGCGAGCGGCAAGGGTCAGTGGGAAGCCATGTCCAACAATTCGTTGTCGCAAGTGTCGTACGACGGGTCGCAGCTCTGCGGTGTTGACAAGAAACACCAGGCGCACTGCACGACCGGGTCGGTGGCGGCGACACCTCCGTCGCAGTGCTGCTTCAAAGACGGCGACGTCATTCAACTTCAGTCAGACACGGGCAAGTACCTTGGACGCTGCGGCGGAGGCTGCATCCCCGGGGCTTCATACCCCGACTCGGCGTTCGTGCACGTGTCGGACCCGTGGGCGGCTGACGCTGCGTGCGGTCGGTGGGCCGTCAAGAACGTCGGCAACGGCAAAATCACGCTGCAGTCGGACTCGGGACGATACCTCGCACGCTGCTATGGGTGCGCCACGAGAGCCAAGGCGACGTACCCGGACGAAGCGTTTGTGCACAGCACGGACCCTACGACAGCGTTTACGCAGTGGAAGTGCATCGACGCGGGTAACGGCAAGATTGGGCTCCAGAGTGACACGGGCAACTACCTCGCCCGCTGCAACAATTGCTTTGGCACAAAGGTCTACCCAGACGTGGCCTTTGTGCACGCCAAGAGCTGGTCGGACGGCGCGTATGCGCAGTGGACCGTGTATAAAGCCAAGGACAAACCTCAGGCGAGCCAATGTCCGGTGCCCGCACCCGTCTTTAGCTGGCAGTCTCTGCCCGGCGAGTGGGAAAGCATTACGTCGTACAACGGCAACGTCTTTGGCATCGACACGACCAACCGCTTGTTCACGCGCACGGTGAGTGCGACGGCCAAGGCGTGAATAGACAATCTGTCGGATTTGGAGAGTAAAGTATCAATGTATCAATCTATGGTTGTCGCTCAAAAGGCGTTTGGTGCGAGCGCTTGGTCGATACGAGCAGCGTCGAGTCTTTCAGTTGCGACGAGCACGAGATATGCATGAGCGCCACAAGTTGTCCCATAGCAAAATGGAGTGTTCTCGAGTGATTGTTACTGTTGATCACGTTGGACTAGCTGCCTTCCAACATAATCAAATTGACTTCCACACCATCAAGCTTTGTCTTTTGGGCGGCGCAGTATTATTGGCAGGGATCATCGACGAACACAAGAGACAAATTGTGGGTCGCTGCGCAAAACTGTGGATGGCACAATAGTCGCTACGGCAACAGCCTCGGGGAGTAGGGGCTGAACGACGCGAGTTGCAGAATTGCTCAAGAGCGTGTCAGTAATGGTACTATAGCGCAGCTACTAGTATTATTGGTTCATCCGACTGCGCTGGGTGTACCGATAATGCAGCACCAGCTTTGTACAAACTGCGATGACAAACCACCAGCGCTGCAACATTGTGCCGCGCCTCGTCACGGATTTGAACTGTGTTTAGTCTTTCCTTCTTGCTCACGCAACGCGACTACCTCAACGCACCACTAAACTCGACTGCAATTCGTTGCGCAGTAGTATGGATGAGTGCACGCCATTTGCCCTAGTTACCGTCACGTGAGCTACAACGACAGCGTGTACTCAACATTCCAATGCGACTGTCTGATTGGTCAATCCATTTTCAAAAATATGTTTAGCCAATCAAATCGTGCGAGTATACGGTCACAGTGGTTTAGTCTCCAGCGCTGATGACACCGGAGCATCAACACATCACCCGGTTCAATCGATCCACGAGTATCTTGGAGGTTCCATACAAAACCTGTGTATTGCACACGGCGATGGCGTACGTCGACACGCCGACCAACGTTGGTGTTGTCGGTCGAAAGGCTCATTTTCCAATTTGCCTTTGCCAGCGCCAACGATGACTGACCCGGCAAATGACCTCCTCGCCCACGGCACGGCCGCGTACCACAACAAGATCAAGGAAGAGGTGGGCGGCGTCTTGCCGCCGCTCGAAATTCGCTTCACGGACCTCGCGCTCTCGGCCGACGTCCCGCTCATGACGCGCCAAGAGCTGCCGACGCTCATGAGCGACGTCACCTCGATGGTGCGCGGTCTCTACCAGCCGTCGCGGACCGTGCGCAAGGACATTCTGCACCCGATGACGGGGACGCTCACGCCCGGGACAATGACGCTCGTGCTCGGCCAGCCCCGGTCCGGCAAGTCGTCGTTCCTCAAGCTTTTGAGCGGCCAAGTCAAGACGACCAAGAGCCTTCGCATGGACGGGCAGCTGACGTACAATGGCGTCTCGGACATGGGTCCCCACTTGGCGCGCTGGACGTCGTATGTGGCGCAGCGCGACGTGCACTACCCGACGCTCACGGTGCACGAGACACTGTCGTTTGCGTCTCGCTGCGTCACGAGCCGCGAGCAGCTAGCGGCGGTGCCCGAGCACGCGACGCCGCTTCTGGCGTCGATCGAAGC